TACATCCAGTGCTCTGTGATATTCGCACTTGGGCAGCTGCAAACTTCACCCATAGCTGTTTGCAGTTGGACAAGCCTGGAGAAGCTGAGCACCTGAAAATTGGCTGGTCATTTTCAAGGCATAGTTTAGATTATCATTTGAAATGAGTTCAACTGACATGTCACATACTTGTCTGGAGCACCAGGGGTGTGGGGTAGGGGCACTAGAAATTAAAATACTCCCCAAACCATGAATTTTGCAATTTAAATCTTTTGCAACTTTAGATTTATAGACCACTATTTCATGAATAGATTTCTTTTTCTCTAAGCCATTGTTCTGTTCTTTATCCAGCCAATGGACTTGAAAAGGTCACAGGCCTGTCAAACTTGACTTACGATTCTAGGCTTGCAGTGCTGCCAGGCAGCTGAGAAATGAGCTGTACACTGAGTTTGCATCTACCAGTCACTGGTTCAGTGTCATGAAAGAGAGTAAGCACTGGGAAAACTTCTCAAAATCTACTATGAACAGTAGCTCACTGTTACAAGAGTCTCTCCTGTACTTATCAGTGCATTCCCATACAATGCAAATAATCAGCTTATGGCTGTGCTGGCAAGGTCATAGCAGACACCTGAGTCAATAGAGATGATTTGGATTTGTCTTTTTGTCCACAAGGTAAAGCTTTCCAGAAGATCATACACACACACCGAGCAAAAAGCAACTGTTTTTATAAAGGAAACAATATAAGTGGAAATTTTTGTTGTTAAGCCAAAAAGCATAATCTACCTAAAATACTGTGCTTTAAATGTTTAAAGTTTACATTGAATGACAAAGAGATATTACACCTGATCTTACAGCCATTGCTGTTACAGAAGGTAACACTATGGAGGCAATTAGCTGCCACTTCAGGCCTTTTAAGTACAGAAAGATTTTCTAAACAGAAAAATCACATAAGAAAATAGTTGGTGGAAACCTCATACTTGCTGTGCTGGAAGGCTGTTTTGTTCTTATTAGTTAAACTAAATTTGAATTTTAGTGAATTAATCCCTTTACAAGAGCATAACCAAGCAGAGCCAGGTTCTTAGGAGCAGATTCTGGAGTCTGGCCCTCTTCAAAACATATCTGAACTGATCAGAGGGACACTTTCCTTGGTTGGGGGAATTTGTGGGGACCATCCCAACCTTTCAGTGATAGTGAGTGTAATATTTAACATATACACATGTCCTGCTGTTATGATTCTTATTGTTTAAATACATGTAAATTTAGCATTATGACACCATATGACACCAATTCAGCATAATCACACCAGTACATCATAACTGAAGGAGTAACTTCTGCCCTGCCCAGATTAAATTATAATATATGACATCTCACATTGCATTTTGCTTTTTCAAATCCTAGCATGACCAACTTTATCCATTGCAAACAAAGCGTCTCTTTACCTCTCCTTTTTCTCTTTTAGAACCTGTTTTGTTTTATGAGTGCATGGAGAGAAGGAAAAATATAAGATAGAAAGTGTGAAAATATATAGCCTACTGAAGGAACAAGCCATACAAAATCCTTTTTATGAGTCAGCTCTAGGCTTTACTGAAATAACCACAGCTATCCAAACAGCACCTGTTGGAGCTCCACAGCCAAGCATGAGCCCCTGTTCTACAACTTCACTGGATAAAAACAAATGAAATGAGAACTCAGATGCACATTTATTGACTATTTTAAGGGAGGAAGAATGTAGCAGAGGAAGAGGAAAGCTGTGAATTTCCTTATAATTTTCCAAGATGTAGCAGAGACTAGAGAGCAGTTGAAAAAAATAAAAATAATAATAAAAAAACCCTTAGGTAGTTTTGAAAGTTAATCCTTATTTGCTGGAGAGAAGGAAGTAAGTTTTTCTAAAGTCACTTGTGAAATACAGTAACTGCCTATGCAATTATATGTTGGCAGAGCCTGCGTGAACTAGTGCTCCTATTTAGTTCCAGACTGCAGCTGCACATTTTATAAGAACTAATTCCTCCTACATCTCACTGCAAACACCAGTTTTCCCAGTCGAAGGTAGTATTCTGCAGCAGTTACACCCTTGTTCTAGATATTATGAATAGGTACTGGTATGATATCAATGTATCAACCTGGTGCTGCATGTTAGAGTTTTTACTGGCTATTAAGTAGGAGACTTTGCTGGCAGTTGAGCTGATTACTGTTGGAATAAAAAATTTAAACACTTGCCAACATTTGTTCCTGTTCTGATCCAAATTTGACTTCTTTACTTTAAGCACCTGCTTAAATCCCATTGAAGTCAAGCAGAGTGTATGCGTAAGCGTTCTCTCAGGCCAGGAACAGAACGATGAATTTAGATCTCAGAGATTACTTACTATGGAAAAAATGCTGTATGTCCCATTTGAATGTCATTACCTAGTAGAGTTGTTTTATTCATCCAGTTTTAAAAGCACTTTTGGAATACACTAAACATTCTGTTTTCCAAACACCAATCCTAATCCTACTTTATAAATGTTAGATGAAGACTTTTCTGCTTCAGCCCTCATCTCTAAGGAATTAAAAATTAAAATCACACAGTAAAAGAGGCAACACAAAGCCATCTTACCAACCCACAAATAAAATAATCCCTGTACAACACATGTAACATAACATTGCATCAAATGGTTAAAGAAGGGGGTGTCTCCTTAATTGATCCTGGACAAATTAATTGTAGGGAGGATTCCCCCCCACTTGAAAAAGACGTCTTTGTCTTTCAATTTTTTCCCCTCCAAAGCATTCAATTCTTGTTTATAGAATACAGCTCACATTTAAGCAGACAATGATGGGCTGTCCCCCTGCGAATGCCCTTTCAAGTGTGCAGCAGCAGGCCTCCTCCATAAAGGCAGCGCAGACGCTCCCGCAGAGATGAGCGGGCTTTTTTCTGTCTCCCACTTTTTAACAGCTCTGCACATCCATAATTGAGAAAACGTGTGAGTGTCGGGGCGGAGGGGCTGCGTGGGGACCCGGCTATCTGCCACCAGGTGGCAGCAAAGGAACCCGCACAGGACGGTCGCAGGCGGGAAAGTAAAACACACACACAAACGCACACATAAAATTGGAGGGAAAAAAAAAAAATAAAAAAAAATCTCCAAAGCAGCGAAACCTCGCCTGGAGGCCTTTTTTCTCTTTTCTGATTCTCCACTAGATGACAGCAGCGAAACCAGGCTGAAACAGCCGGTAATGGACTAGCAGAGAAAACGATTTTATCCCTACTGCTAAGCCCTCAGAGAGCAATGCAGTTAAGAAACTCTCATTATTGGCTGTTTTCCTGGAAATTACAGAGCCTTTTGCTTTTAGGCTTCCCGCCTACAGGCCTCAATAATTTAGAAAAATACATTTCTACATTGTATGCAATGCACTTAAAGCATATGTACTTGGGCTGGAAAAAACAGTTAAGTATTGTTGCTTTAATGTGAATAATTACTTCATAATGTCAGCCATTAGTCTTGTAAAATGCTCCTTAGTTTTACTTGCATAAGCTAAGGGGCTCTCCTCGTTCAGACAACAATACCCATCTGCACTAAAACTGCAGCAAGACAGGAGGTTGAGCTTCCCAATATATTTACAACAATGTTCAGTTTTATAATGCAGGTACTAATTTTATGCCAATGCCTTAAAATGCTGCTACACTTTTGCTGTTGGCTGGTCACCAGATTAAATTGCTTTTAAAAAAAGCACTTTCAGCTAAACAGGTCACTTCGACCCAGTTATGGCACAAGCTAGTCTAGGGTCCAAGTATTTATGGCATAAACTAGGTTCAGACTTGGACCAGGTGAGGAAGGAAGGAATTAAACACACTTATTTTACTTTTTTTATCTCACTGTGCTTGAAAATGAATCCATCCTGACCTAAGTACCGTAAAGCTGCTGCAAGTAGGACACTTTCTGGAGCTCACAGGGGGCAATATACACCCTTCAACCTTAGTTGTATTCCTGAAGTGTTTCAGAGCATTTCTTGTGTGGAGAGGTAGATCTGGTATAAAGCCAGCTTTCTAGCCTTCAGGCATCTGTGAGATTCTCTTGTATGAGTGAGGGAGATCTCCAGCTCAACAATATTTACAGCCCTTTGCCCTGGTGTATAAGTATAAAGGTTTGCAGCACACAGCATGCTTTTTAGAGAGAAAATAAATAATTTATGTGCTTCTCTCTTTGTTCACTTGCTTTTTATTTCATCAGTTTATCTTGTATTTTCATCCTCTTGGATTATTTTGAGGTGTATGAACCTAGTTGTCTTTTTATTATTTTATTTTATTTTATTTTATTTTATTTTATTTTATTTTATTTTATTTTATTTTATTTTATTTTATTTTATTTACAAAGACCTTGTTTAACAGTATGGCTGTATACCTTCAATCTTTTTAATGTGTATTCTGATTCATTTATATTTTAGCACTCCAATGATTTAACTCCAGTTTTCTGTTGTGGCAGCTGTTAAAGAAATATTGTCTCTCTGTCTTTTGGGGTGATGGAGATGATACATGATCAAAGATCAGAATGCAGGAGTAAAGAAACTCTGTCACAGATCCCAGAAAATTATTTCAATAGTAATTCAAAGATTTCAAGGTCTTTTTTTGTTTGTTTGTTTGTTTGTTTTTCTTCTCTGAAAAAGTGAAAAGAAATATTTATGCATTCAGGCTAACATTTTAGTAAGAGCAGTGTCATTGCAACAATTCAGTCAGTCAGTAAGTAATGCCTAAATTTTTCATTTATATTTCTTTACGATACTTTGAATGCCACTCTATCATCCTTTGCTCCAATAATAGCTATCATAAAAAGGGTAGGTATTTATTACAATAAATAATCAACTGGTTGACTTTGCATGCCATGTGGACCATACTACACACATCAAACCAAATCACTAGTCAAAAGAATAAGGCATTATAAGAAGTAGCATGTTTATAATTTTCTTTTTTTAATTATACCCATAAGGAGACATTCTGCTATGCTCAGGGTATTTGTATCTTTTCAGGATCAATTCCTTATGTGGTACAGGAACATTGTAAAATAGTGATGTCAAACAAATTGTATTTGTGACAAAAATTGGAATTCAAATAAAACAAGGGAGGGGAATAGCTTAATAAAAATATTTATTGAAAAACTCCCATCAACAACATTTGGCTGTACTAAGTAAGTAAAACGCTGAGCGTGACTATGGTAATCAGGATGCAAACAGCTAGTATCATGAGCAGGATGATTCGGCAACATTTGGAATGCTTTTTTTCTCTCTCTTTCTTTTTTAACAGGGTATCGTACCCAGGAGTATATATATCCCCCATCCAGAACTGTAGATCATTAGGATTTTCCTAAAAGAAAAACCAGAAAATGAACTCAGTTCCTCTGTCTTGCACATAAAGTCATTAGAACATAGCTAGAAGTATTTTGGCTATCATCAGATAATGATTAATGAATTTAAAGCATCACAACACAAATGCAAGAGACTTTCACTTGAACATAGGTTACACTACTTGCCAGATGCTGCAAATGTTCCTCTGGGGAAAATTAAAACCACGCTTTTCAGCCAGGAACCAAATGTAGGACACCAGCCATTGAGATTTAAAAAAAATAATAATAATAATAAAAAAAAAAAAATGGAAGAAGAAGAAGAAACCATGTTGCCCTTCTCAAGAAGAGATGCTGATTTACAAATGCAGATCTGAGTCCCTTTCCAAAACAAGGGGATAGCAAAAACAAACAAATGAACAAAGGAAAAAAAAAAAAAAGTAACTCTAAAATTGATTTGTGTCAACTCACATATGGGCAGGATTCTGCCTGGCGTGAATAAGGCTGAGAAAGTATGTTATCTGATAACAGAAGGATGTTATAAACAGCCATATGAAAAGTTATGAAATTGGCGATTTATTGTTTAAGTACCTGATTTACAGATTTGCCCTATATAGATGGAGAAACTCAGTAGCAGGGTATTGTGGTTCAAGACCTTCTGTAGCTTAGAAGTCATGATCTGCTGAACCAAAATTTCTGACATCTAACCAGGTATGTAGACTTTTTTTTTTGATCACACTCAGGCTAGTGTCATGTTTGTACAGGAAAGCTTGTCCATACTTACTACTGGAATCCTACCAAAAGAACCAAACACACTGCATGGTGGTTTGTGTCCACACACAGTTCATAGCAATCCACGTGACTAATGCAGTGCAGCAGTGCATTACCTTTATGTGGCTGGCCAAGTTAGAATGCAGTGAATGTCTGTCATAGTCCTGCACAGTCCAGGAAGGTGTCCTTTTCTTCTCCTCCCAGTCGTCATCCACCTGGATATCGCTATACAGGGGATTGCTCTTGATTGTGGATTTCAGGGTGATGGGTGTAATGTGTTTCCCAAGGGCTTTGTCTATCATTTCTTGGCTGATGCCATTCAGTTCCAAGCCAGGCAGCTCAGTGGTGTTTTTCTTTTCTCTCTGCAAAGCACAAGTTAGAGCAGAAGTTGACCTTCTTCTTCATTTACCTATGACACAGGTCCCCTCCCAGAGTTCTTTGTAATATAACAGAGTCATTCTTAAAATTACATGTGCAACAATTTTTCTTCTGGCAAAAATCTACAGTGCATTAAGGGAGCCTTACTGTTCACTCTGTGTAGATTTCTTCCTTCTGTGGAAAACGTGTGGGTACAATGTGGACATTAAACTTTTCTGCAAATAGAAACTGGCATTATTATACCTGCCGAAGAAAAGCCTGTATTTTAGCAAAATGGTGCCATGGTGTACAGTGGCGGAGCTCATAGTTCTGACAGATGCCAAATGAGTAAGATGCAGAAGCAGAGCTGTAACGACAAAACAGATTGACACACACAGTGATGGCATGTAACTGACTGTCTTTACTGGAGCTGCACATCTAACAGTGGGTGCAAGTTGCAGCTCTTTTCACATTATTGCATGTTAGACCCATGTCAGGATGTCAGAGAGGCATGACGTGTAACTGAGGGAAAGTCCCAAGTCAGGCACTGTCAAAATACAAAGGTAATTGAATACCTAAACAGTTTCCCTGCACATTATTAATTAAATCAGAAGTTTTAGGACAGGGGGTAGTAAAGCAACAACTCTGGTGGGATCTGCTTTTTGAAGAACTCAAAAGGTGCTCCTTAAAACCTTGCTAAGTGTCTATCTAGGAGCTGGTAAGACTGCAGATGCCTTCTTTTTTGATCTCTAGTTGCATGCGGTAAGGCTGTCCAATTCTACAGTTCAAGCTGTTCAACATTGTCTTTCACCACAACCTTGTCGCCGAGACTTGGAACTAACCTGCAGCTGATGGGTGGTTCCAGCTACACCTCAGCTTCCTAAGAGAGCTGTTTCTGACAGCCCTGCTCTCACACCAGTGTCTGTCCTGTGCTTAAGGACTGCCCATACAGTACCATCCCACAGCATACAAAGCTCTCCTTGTTAGCAGATGATGCTTCCCCACCAGCACCTCTGTCCTGTCTTGAGACAAGGGTGGTCATGGTCTGGCTTGGTGCCCAGGCAGGCCTGCCAGCAGGAGCACGGGGCTGCTGCCTTCTCCTCACACTGCCTCTAGAGCTGCTTGGCTCCCCTATCAGACAGCACTGGTTTTGAAACTGACAGCAAACTGCTTGCTTCCTCTGCTTGAGCAACAGCCTGCCACTTCAGTGAGCTGGTGTATCCACTTTTAGTGGAAGCCAGCTGCTAAAGGTCATCACGAGCTCTGTAACTTGGGTCTGTGCAGACACAATGGGATGTGTGGGGCACGAAGGTGTAGAAGGAAGTGGGGGAGCTGCTTTCCTTTAGGAAGGAAAGGAGAAGATAAAGAAACAGGCTTTGTCTAAGAAACCCTAGTAGAAAGCATCATACTGGCACTCTTATCACTAAATCATCACAAATGACTAAGAATATTTCCCATCAATAATTATCATTAGTAGGTGGGTGGATCCTCAGTGCCCTCCCTGTTCCTCCATTAGTTCATAATTTCCATATGTCATTCCTTAGCATTGACATGTCCCCTGACAGTATTACTCTTTGCATTGCAGTTACAGCTGGCACTGAAACCCTCTGGATTGTACTGGCCAGATTTCAGCTGAGCTGGTGTTTTTAACTGTCATTTCTTTCTGACTGCATGTTATTTTATTTTGTTTTATTTATTTCTTATTTAAAATTTGTCAATGACCTTAATGATGCCTCCCTCAGGCCTGCTAGATAGCTGAACTTGAAGAATATTTTGCTGAGGAAGGCAAGCTGTCTCTCCAGGGGATGTTTGGACTCCCTAGGCTAAAATGTTGTGAAAATAATGCAGCTTGACAGCAATTTGTAAAGCTGTTTTAAATAACAAACTCCAAAACTTGCAAAAGATGGCATGATGCAGAATTGTTCATAAAGAGAGTTCTTTTTGACAAAACTTTAAGCCCTTTCCCTCCAGACTAGTTTGCTTTTCATGGACAGCAATGCATGAGAACAGGAGAATGTGTTATCCTGGAGTAATGCTAGGGAGAAATATGAGGGAGGAGCAACAGAGTTTTACTGTGAGAACTGGACTGGGATTTGTGGTACTAGATATTTTGCAGGAGGTCTGGAGAACAAACACTGAAGTGCAACGTTAATCAGAGTACACTTGAATGTGGCCAAAGGCTTGGTTGTGAAACTTCTGCAGTAGATATGACCTAGAGACTACTTAGGAAAACAGAAGTAGAAAAAACTAAGGCACAGACAAAAGAAAATGTAGGTCAAATAAATAGTACAGATAAGCATGAAACAGGTTGCAAGAAACATATGCATTTATAGAAACAGAGAAAATAAGGTTAGAAAATAAAAATATGGCTCCAAGTATTAATTCAAGCAAAAAAAAAAATATACATTTATTTTAAGACTCAAACCATCAGCAGTTTTTATAGACTTCTATGTTTTGATTCTTACTCACAAAAACAATATTCAAAGAAAGATAAAAGTATTGTAAACTTCAGTACTGAAGTGTGTTAAAGAATTAATATTGTATGTACTGTGCCTGAGGAACCAGCATGAATGAGGGTGGAAGAGATCTAAATCAGAACTGATAAAATTCTGAAACAGAGGAAATTTATATTAGAGTTCACTGAAATGAAGAAAACAACAGCAAATGCTTAAAGAAGCAGTAGTTATAAAAAGCTCCATGAAATTATAGTTGAAATATATTGAATAAATACTCGTTTAACAAGATGAGAAATACTCATCTTTGCATACAGATAACTACATCTGATGTACATATAACTCATGAAGAAAGTTCTTGCTGTTTATAACTCATTTCTCACCACAAGCAGTTTGTCCCTCTTTGTCAGATCCAGAGAGCTGACATGCATAAAAAGAAGATGCTCTGAAAAGCCTGAGGATCTATAGAGAGTTGAAGCTAGTTCCAACCCTTGATCAAAATGTGCTTTCTCAGTAGGCTTTTCTTGCTGATTATTTCATAACGCAAATTATACATATCAGTACTTGACAATATGCATAACTGTAAATTACACAGTAATCTATGTTTTAGGGAGTATTTTAATCTCATATTTGTCTTGAGTTTACCCTTCTGTTGCCACTATTGTTGTAGTTGTTACCACTGAAACAGAAAGTCAAACATTTCTGTCCTCTGTCTTTGATATGGGATATCAAGTACCAAGGTAATGACCCATTAAAACCAAGATATCAATAACTAAGGCCAGGCCTTGGTCCAAAGCCAATCCACCTGCAAGAGGAGATCAAAGAGACATCAAAAACAAACAACAACAACAACAAAAGATTAAAGAATGTTATGTCGTGCAAGTCAAACTTTTCTTTACTCCCGCACAATGAGAGCTCTGTGTCCCTTGGCAAGCTGCTGTTACTGGCTGCAGATGGGCTGATACTTAATGAAAGCAACAAATGCTGTCTGTGGGCAGCTGTGCCTAACAGCTTTACCGAAGCAGTCTTTCAGAAATCTAGGGCCACCACGAACTGCAGGAGTTGTTTTGTAACAACATCCTCAATCCCCATGAAAGTGCGTAGCAGGGCAATTATTATATTTGTAAGTGGTTTGTTTAAAATTGTAACTCTCTGTTTTGCAGAAGCCACACAGCACACCCTGGGGAGCACTCCCAGCAACAGGAAGGGCACTTTTCTGATGTAAGGACAAAAGGTCTGGTAGACAGAAAGCTGATAGGTAGTAACCCAAGGATTCCTGTGATAAGGCATTTGATCAATTAAAAAAAAGGGGATGATCTTATGGGGGGATCTTATGTGGGATGCTGTGGAAAAATAACCAGGAAAGCAATCAGTAACCATGCCTATGTGAGTACATACAAGAAGCAAAACATCAGACTGCACACATTAAAGGTTCCCAAGAATACATGGTTTCTTTTCAACAGACCTGAAGGGTCACAGACATGCTTGTCAGGGACATGAAACAGTAATGGGTACTGCAGAGCAAGCTGGGGACCCACCTGACATGGATAGGAGATCAGTAGGTGGGTGTTTTAGGGGTGTTTTAGGTTGGATATTAGGAAGAACTTCTTTACTGAGAGGGTTGTTAGGCATTGGAATGGGTTGCCCAGGGAAGTGGTAGAGTCACCATCCTTGAAAGTCTTTAAAAGACGTTTAGAATGTTGAACTTAGGGATATGGTTTAGTGGAGGACTTGTTAGTGTTAGGTCAGAGGTTGGACTCGATGATCTTGAGGTCTCTTCCAACCTAGACAATTCTGTGATTTCGTAATTCTGTAAAAATGTAAGCTGACATGAAAGGACCCAGGACAATTTAGAGAAAAATAGGCATTCATACCGATGCTTTTCACAGTGCAGCAACAAGAGTACTTCTACCCCAGTAATTAATTGTTTACTTAAAGGAAGCTGTTTTGTCTGTCGCTGTTAATGGAGGTCTGCAGGGCTGTGAGTACAACGTATAAAAACTGCTGCATGGCGTCAGACCAACGCTCCTGCCAGCCTTGCAGCTGGTCTCTGCAGCCAGTTGTAGATATCTAGGGAAGAATAGGAGAGAGAATGTAATGCAGGTCTGAGCTGACGGACAGGCTAGTGACTAGCCCAGCACCTAGCTAAGAGGTAATCTCCTCTCCAAGTGCCTTGAGAAGTGTACAAATGCAACACACAGGCATTACTCTCAGATGAGAGACCAGGAGGGGTTAGGAGTGCAACTAGCATGGTAACTGTAATACTTGCAGGCCAAAAGTTATTCAGAGTTGTGCAATCCTGAGCAACAGCAGAAATGAAAAGTGACACAGTATTCAAAGACAAAATGCTCTTCCAGAAACAGGGAAAAGGGGAAAGCTCAAGCAGGAAAGGGAAGTCTGAGAAAGGCAGAAAACAAGGGGACAGGCCTTGAGGAGGAGAGTGATGAGCTTTGCTCCCGGGAGCAGATGCAGGCAATCAGTCACCCCCTGTACTATGAGCACCTCGAGGTGTTGTGGGCAGAGCATCCTGCAGGGCTGGGAGTTCTCAGGGCAATCAGAAAGCAGTCAGCAGCTAGCCATTTGTGGAAGAAACAGTCTGTGCTTTTTATGCTGCTTTTCACAAGGAAGGGCCAAGATTCCTGAACCGCTTTATGGTCTGTTTTATTTGAAGTAGATGATGAAAATATACACTGAGAAGGGAAGCTGTTCAGTTTGCCTGACACAGAAGAGGAAAGTAAGGGGAAGAAGTGGCAACTTTTTGGTCAGAAATATGAGTTGTTTGTTATAAACAGTCTGCTTTTTAAAATGGAAATATATTTTAAAACATAGGTGGGGAAAACACATAAGCACTTAAGTGCACTTGAATTTGAATGATCTCATGCCAAAGGTCTGGAAGAGGCCACCGATACACCACCAAGCAGTCACTGTATGCAAGGAGTCCTGAGCAGCAACAGTTTCTTAAAGAAAATGAATTTCTGCAAGGAATTTCATCTACTCTCAGGGTTTAAAAATTCTGGGAGCCTGTAGGTCATGCACATATGTTCTGAAATGAATTCCCCTCCCTCACTCTCCACCCCCTACCCCCCCATTTCCGTTTCTGAATTAACTAACCCTTAACCCCATTAGCTCTCTCATCTTAAAGCAAAACATGTTATTCCTGTGCCATTAGTTCTCTGCTGTGCCATCGTGTTTATTCTAACGTCTGGAACTCATCAGTTCTTTTCCCTTTATTTGATTGTCAGCAAAAGGGAAAAAGAAGAGGCGAGTTCATAAGGGAGAGAGAATAAGGCACAATGAATTTTATCTGGACAGTTTGCATTCAATAATGATTGCACTTAAAAACATAGGTTGTGCCCTAGGTTCAACATTTATAAATGTACTGTATTACAGGCTGTGTTTCTGAGACACGTGGCAAGCACAGGAATTTCCCTTGAAATGCCCACCCTCTGTATTTCCTCATCCCCTCACCAAGATCCCCCTTGCTTGTGGTGAAGGGCAGAGCATGAGCAGAAGGCACACAGCTCCCCGCATGGTCCAGTCCTCCCACAGTGCTGCAGCCCTGGCCCAGCCTCAGTGCCTCCTGTTCAGCAACAATAGGGAGAAGCATCCCCACTGTGGAGGCGGCTCTGTGTGTGGCTGCCTCTGTCCTGCACAAAAGAGGGGCCGCGGCGGGGTGGGGAGCGAGGCCAGCATTGCTCCACAATCCCATTGTTTAGGATCCTGCAGGCTCCTTCCCTTGGCGAAGGCTTCATGCATGGGAGACGGCAGCAACTGTGGGACCCCCCTGCCTGCCCCCTTCTTCCTCACAGCTTCCCCCTGGGGGGGTGAGCCAGCAAGGAGCATACAATAGGAGCAGTCTCTGGGAGGGAGGGAGGAAGGGAAGGGGTCTGGGTAGCTGATGGGGAGAAGAGGCCAAGAAGGAAGAAGCTGAACTGGAAGTTGCTGTGGGAGACCTCAAGGCTCTTCCTCTTCCCCTTCCACACCCATTGGCTTTTGGCTCCTGTTCCTCATTGCCCTGGGAATCTTGACTGCCACCCTGAGGATGCTCAGGATGCAGACCCTTCTGCAGCCCCCCAGCCACCTTCATGCGTCTCTATCCCTTGACAAGAACCAGACCTTGGAGCTTTTGCTCAGGCTAGGGGTGGGGAAAGGCGAGGGGCTCCCTGGGCAGCAGGAAAAGAGTGCTGTGGTGTGTGTAGCAAGTGGGGCCCAGAGGGGTGTGAGCTGATGCAGCTGTACGGCTGCTGATCCAGATATGAACGTCTACTCTGCAGGCTCCAGGGCCTCTGCTAGGCAGTGTGCATTTGCATTTTTACTATGAAACTGCTGCTACCTCCACATCATAATAACCTGCATTAACACAGTCATTGTTTTTCATACTTTCCACAGACATCTGTCAGGGTGACAGGAAGGTCAAAGAGGAAAGAGTTAAAACAAGGCAAAGGAAAGAAGCTACAATGAACTGTGTAGACATATACAAGCTAGCAAGACAGTAACATGAATTTCTATTGCTCCCTCTAATGTGCCTTTTCACTGAGTGATGTGGCCTGGATTTCAGACTTAAGTCCCTTGTTGTTTGGTTGTTTTTCTTTTTGTTTTTGTTTGTTTGTTTGTTTGTTTTATCTCCTTTGATATTCTTTTCCCATCTTTCTCATACTTCGAATTTCTTCAGAGAGGGTGTCCCATTAGCCCCCTAGTACAATTAATGTGTATTTGACTCCAGTAGTCTTTTATGGGAAATGCTATGAAAATGCTACCACAAACAGCATAAAGCCTAATGTACTGAAGTAAATTAGGTGGACTGCCTTACTGCTGAAGAGACCAACTGTCTTTCTGGAGCCTGATCCTCACTGAAGTCAATAGGAAAACTTCCAGGGATATTCGTAGCGCAGAATCAGAGATGTGGGAAGCTGAATCCACAGCTGAAATGCCAAGCTCACATCATTTGCCTCCAGTTCCCCCAAAACAGCATAGAAAAATTAAGACAAAAGTCTGCCTCTGTTAGACCTTACCTGTAAATAAATCCTGTTGTGCCACTGCTGCACTCCAGGTAAAGCTGCTTCTGGGAATTTTGGCAGGCTGGCTTGCAGAAAGGCAGAGTTTTTCACTAAAGACTTCACCTCCAATTGTAGAAATTTATCAGGATGGTTGTTGTTTGGCAAAACAGAGAGGTCCATGTTTCTGTCCTGTAGAGTAATAATGAAAGCAGCCCAAGCTTCTGCTTCCTGGCTGTGCATGCTCCTTCTATTATTAATGATGTGAAGAAGGATACGACAGTCTACTGAAACTGTATCTGACCCCAGTTTGGTGTCAGGCTCACTTATATCATCTACCATTGATAAAAGGTTGTTTAGAAGTGGCAGAGCAGACAGGACATGTTTCTTTAAGTGCCTAGCTTAAGTTTTCAAGTTCAAGGTCTATTTTGATAGATACATATGTGCTCATTAAAGCTAACCGAGTACCAGTGAGTAGATGCATGAGACACTTAAATGCATACCAGCACTTCCTCAAGTGACCTGCCAAAAACGTCAAGCTTACAGCACTTCAAAGCAAACTCTTTTTCATAAAATTAGAAGCAGTTCCCAGTGCAAAGCCAGTCTTCCTCCTCCTCCGTGGCAGCACTAACAGGCTTCACTGTGCCGTGTGGGTTGGTGCCATTCACCACGGCAGCTATGATATGCACTTCTTCATATGCAGGGATTTCTTTGACAGCAAATTCTTCCTGACTCTGGGAAATGCCAGTTTGTTTCAAGTAATTGATAACAGAAGTTTTCAAGGAATTGACTCTGCTTCTGTTCAAATGAATGGAAAAACTCTTACTGACTTGAATGGTGCAGAATCAGTCCCTTAACTTTCACTATTTTATTTTGAGATTTGGTACTTTCATCAGCATTTTAGAAGTATGAAGCTCTTTTGATTTTCATGTAGTGAAATTCCTCATCATGGATGGACATTACTTAATATGAGCATTTATTGTTACTTTTTTTTTTTTTTTTTTTTTTTTTTCCCAGACTTTTTAATTTTTGTAAGACATGCTTTTTTTTTATTTTTTATTTTTTTTATGACAGAGCCACATAGGATAGTTTTTTTGAAAGCAGATTATTTGAAATCCAGGAAAGCCTATTTTGGATCAAATTAAGTGCTGGGAATTAGGGGACCATGAAAATTTTAGCTTTGTACTTAAACCATAGAATCAATCCACTTTGATTCTATGCATTTGTGTTTCTAGCATTTTAAAAGAAATTTTAAAAAGTAGATTTTTTTTTGTTACTTATGTGAGGCCCTAATGCAATAAATGACTAATTTGATATACATATGAATTAAAACCTTCTTATCCATATAGAAAGTTCATGATTTTTCCTTGCATGCATGTATTAGCAATTATTTGACAGCACATTCATTAAAAAGTATTAATCCATTGCCTTTCCAGTAGAAACTCCAATTACAGTATTTTCCAACAGCCACAAAAAAGGCAGTAATGACCATGCTTTTAGGTAGATGCCCCTGGGGAAGCATGCCACTGGAGAATGTGCTGTTTAATTTAGACCTTTTTTCCCTTCATGTAATGAAACCCTGGAACACTGTATCACACCTATACAGCATACGGTGACTACCATGAATTTATGTTTTAGATTTAACATGACATGTAGTCCCCTCTTTCCCTGTGGACACCTAGGACAGCAATGGCTAGTGTTCTACAATACCTAATATGTACAACCATGCCTTCTTTTATGAATATATATACCTTTCCAGCTTCTTGCTGAAGACAGGATTTTTCTGTGTTACTGTAGCATACAAGATGGTGAGCATCTGTTTGAATTTACTTGCTTCATTCAAGTAAATTCATTAATTTACTTGATTCATGAATCATTTACTTCATGATTCTACTTAATTTCATTAGATGTGATGTGAGAACATAACAAAAGCATGACTGGGCTAGGGGGGTCCCAGCTCCGCATCACTGTATTTTTAAATGGCAAGAAGAGATGCTACTTGGGTATAGTGTGTATACCTGTCAACTTTCTGCATTCCAGTCCCTTTTACTCTCCCAGAATCCACAGTATTTTATTTTATTTTATTTTATTTTATTTTATTTTATTTTATTTTATTTTATTTTATTTTATTTTATTTTATTTTATTTTATTTTATTTTATTTTATTTTATTTTATTTTATTATTTTATTTTATTTTTGAATTTAATTATTGTATTGTATTGTATTGTACTAGAGTATCTTTTCATAGGCATCTTTTTATGGACTTCTTGCCCATTAATTTGTCTAATTGCTTTCAAATCTTCTGAAAAGCAAGATTCAGAACCTCACAACCATCAGTGTGAAGTGATAACTTTTATGTGTTTTATGCTAATTTCCCTACCAGTTTTATCAAGGAAGTCATCTTTGTTGTACTGCAGGGTTTTGTGAACAAAAAATGCAGAAAAAAAGCTCCACATGAAGCATATCTGTCACCTTCAGGATTTTTTAAAACTTGATAATGCTCATCTCAACCTTTTACTCTCCAATCTGAAGTATCAACTTTTTCCATCTCATAAGCCACCCGGTCCATCTCCTCGATTTATTTATTTATTGCCTTTTTCTATGCATTACTGACTAATTCCACTACATTGTTACTGAGAAGCAGTGACTACAAATGAATGCAGGGTTTGAATTGTGGATATACCACAGTTCCAAAAATTGGAAAAATGATGCACTTTCTTCTGATGACATACAGTTTTTGGCTTTTTCTGCTGCTATAGATTCAAAAACTTCAGACTACAATATCTGATGACATTATAATCTTTTTCCAGCTCTATGACTGTCAGCTGCAAGTTCAGTACCTTGTAGGCATAAGTTAGTATGTTTTCCACAGCCGTACTACCTTGCATTTGCCCACACCAAGTTTATTGGCTAATATTTGCCTACTCACTCATGTTTTTAGTGTTGTGCTAACTTAACTAATACTTAGTTAACTAGAAGAGCATAACGTCATATCCAGAGCTGGTGATCTCAGATTTTACTCTCTTCCTCATGTCATTGATGAAAGTGTTGAACAACATTAAACCAGTGTCATTCCTTGGGGAACCATCCTGAAAGATGGCTATTAAATTCCACCTTTTGCTTCCAATTCTTTCACCATCTTTCATGGCATAGAGATTACTCCTGCAAGCCCTGTGTAGTTTCCTAAATGTCCTGTAACATGAAACATTGTCAGAAACTTCTTTGTCCACCAGATCTTCTTTGCTCAGGACACCACTGAAGCCATGCTGACTCTCCCATGCACTCAGGTATCTTTTTCTTTGTTATAGGCTGTTACTGCAAACAAGGGAAGGAACACAAGGTTCCTTGGCTTGCAGTTCAAAGGTATCTCCCCTAAAGATCCCCTTTTTCATAGACAGGAATTACACTGCAATTTACCAGCCCACTGGCAGAGTGGCTGTTTGCAAGAATATCTTATACCCTGTGGCAAACAGTTTCATAAAGTCACAATTAGGTTCTTCCAGGAATCTCAGTGATCGCCTCTTTTGCTCTCCTCATGCAGGCAAGCAATCTGGTTTTAATACGCTTTTTGAACTTAAGAAAAGACTGCTTGTCATGAAGATACCAATGGAAACTAAATGAAAACAAAAACCCACAAACAAAACCAACCAAACAATAACACATCCTCCAGAATGAAACTGCAAATACTCTCCAGAATAACTGGCCATTCGATTAGAATTCTGGTATTCTTTTTATTTAAGAAAGGTATACGGAGTGGTAGCTACTGTACTACATTTAACGAGCATGTATCTGAGACAAAGTATCCCCACTGCACAGAAGCCTGCCACAAGTACTGTGCACCACTTAAATCACACTTAATCCAACCAAATTGTGTGTAAGTGGGATTTTAGTGCCAGAGGCCTACTCTAGCCCCTGTGAATCAAAGTGAGTTTCACTGCTACCTGCCAGCTGATCTTGACTGATTTGAGATTCATTAGTTGAAATTTTACATATTTATCAGGCCAGAAGGAAAACATCAATGCAGAAAGATTGTTGTTGAGGAGAAAAAAAAAAAAAAGTAAGCAAGTAAGCTTGTCCTCTAGCATAGCAGGCTGCTGCTTCCCCGAACACTGTTGGAAAGTGCTGCATGCCATCACCAGGGCTGTGGCACAGCTCTGTAAGTAAGACAGGTACACGCATTGAGCCTTCTCCCTAAACAGACTTTTGATTTTATGTTTCTTCTCTAAATAGTAATTGTGTGTATCACAACAATAAAAGTAAAATTAAGTTGCTTTCAAATTCACAGAGAGTTGGAAGCAGTAAGCATTTTTACCACGTAAACACAGAAATGCTTCAAAATGATTCACACGCATTGAATTAATGGTTTTGTATTACAGTTGCTGAAGAAATCAGAGCTGGAGCCATCAGGATTATAACACACTGACTTCACTCATTATATTTCAAAAAACATCATTCTGCTGTACAAATCACATCTGTATAGTAGAATTTTTGGAGAGAATTAAAATGCACAATCACTTATCTAAAGATGCATTCCCTTTTTGCTTAGAGTGGAAACTGGAATCTGAATCTGCTACATTTGCCTATCAACAAGCATTTTAATATGATACACAATAGTTACCAAAGAGAGGTCTGTTACTCCGCAATACTCTAATTACCTTAGCAATTAGTAATCTACTAATAACTCTAAATACTCTAATACTGTAGTCACTTCAGCGTGGGAGTAAAAATCTCCCCTTCCTGCAATTTTGAAGGGAGGCAAGTTCACATTAACTTATGATGATTGCCAACTACACCTTATGATGCCTTTCAGACTCATTTCCCCAGCTGTCTTGCCTTCAGGGTTTGCTCTCCTATGTGTTCAGAATATGACTAATGGTCTGCATGGCAAAATAGAGGTAGAGGACATACCCCTATCCCACAGCTACATTCAGTGGGTGCAGAACTCACCTGAGACAACTAATTTGTCCTCCACTCAATATTACTCTGTTATAACCAGCTTTTCATTTATCAAGGATCAAGCAATGGAACGTATGTCTGAAGTTGCAGAAAAGTGCCTAAACCAATAGTGGGGAGGCATATGTTGTAGGGATTACTGAAGCTGTACATGCTGTTATGCAGGGCTGAACAGATTCTGCTACGAGACATGGATGCCCCAAACCGCAAAAATGCAAATAACAAAAGAAGCATTACTTTTTATTGAAAACGTAAAAATCATGTGAATCATGTACAATATTTTCTCATAAGGAAAATTTTAGCTGTTTCATAACGTTTCACATAACTGTAAAACATTTTATTTTTATAAAGACTTTTTCATAAAACAAAGATAACACTAAAGTAGTATTACAAAGCTATTTTCTAAATCATTGACAAAGAACTGGAAGTGTTTAACAGATTAATTCATAAAAGTGGCAGGAGGAAGAACTCTTCCTTTTGTAAATCTGCAAGAGGACACACAAAGGTATAGAGGGGCATGGGTTTTTCTTTCAAAACGTTTAAAAT